GTAGCATATAGTTGGGCGTGTTTTGCGGTAACCTAAATATTCTTCTTAGGAAGCATATTTGAAGGATTTCTAATTCAATAAACTTGTCACTCCCCATACTTGTGCTGCATAAAAGAGAATTGATCTTACAGCCGCTTGAAATATTTGAAACTTTAGCGAAGTCGCAACCTCATTTTTTCCCCAAAATTATTTTTCTTGACGAGTTTATTGCTTTTCTGGCTGCATTTAACTTTTTACTGAGATGTTTATTGAATTTGCCATTATAAGAGATCCAAACTCCTAAATATTTGTAATATTTAATATATAACATATTGCTTTTGTTTTAAAATATTGCAAACTAAAATGAACATATTTTCAAGCATATGTCTTATAACTCTATATATCGTTATATCTATATATCATTAAAATATTCAAAGTGTTGTTTAATATTTGAATAGTGTTTCATTATTATTATTTTTAATCTATTAAAAGTTGTCTTATTAACAACATTATTATTAATAAAAATTCTACATATTATTTGTTAATTATGTAAATTTTATATAAATTATTAAGCACTAATTATAATTAGTATATAAAATTTATCTCATATTATACGTAGTAGTCCTGAGTAAATAGTCAGGGTAAATTGCAATAAAATCTATACTGTTCTCTACAGATAAACTATTTGTAATTTTTAAAACCACAAACCTTTCTACTAAATTAATTAAATTAATTAGATATTTAAAAAAAAAGCATAGAATGATTTCTAAATAATACTGAAAGCGAAACTAAACCAAAAATTACTAAAAATCAAACTCAAAAATTTGCCTAAATTTGCCTTCTTCAATAGCCAAACCAGAAATGCGACTGTTCTACGTGGCGTATGAGTGCTTTGTGTTGTTTACATTTCGTTTCGTTTACAAGTGTGAGTGCACACACATTTGAGCAGAACTGCAGAGCACTCAAGTGTGAACTTGGCTCGCTTGTGGAACGTGACTAACGCAACTGTTTGTGTTGACTGTTCATAATAATTTGCTGGCATGGCGTTGGCGTTATGCTGGCGTTGTGCTGGCGTCATTAATGCTGATGATGATGATGACAATTCTAATACTTATGTGAATGAGTTATGAGCTTCTGTGCTTCTGTACTTTTATTTCAATTTGCTTGGGCCGTTTCTCATATGATCTTGTGTGTTTGTGTGTTTGTTGAGGAAGATAAATAATTTTTATTTAATTAGTTCGCAAATTAATAATTAAAGAGATATTAAGTGTTTACAACAAATCCTATTCCTGTTACATTTAATAAAGCACAGAGAAACGTGCGAATGAGTAGCGATTGTGCTTATTGTGCGTCAAGCATCTGGCAACATGTGTAAATGGAATACTAAACCTTAACGTGGGCACAGACTCACAGTTTTCTATAGTGATTGTCTACCATTACCATTGACGTATCAATATAATGAGACAATAAAATCCCCCAATAAATTCTGCTAGTGCCAATTAAAGATATAGGCTTAGATATAGTTTCCTTATTGAGAGAAAGCGAGATCCTCTTAAAAGCTCTGCTGTTCTTTGGCACACGGCACCCCTTTGAAAAATGCAACTCCGCATCAAATAAATGTAAATAAATACAATCATTCTACCTACGTAACCTTGAGTTTTACCTACAGCCAACATGATACTTCCATCAGAGAGTGGATGTTCCAACTTGGTCAGACAGCGAAAACTGTGGCGCTAAATCATGATACCAGTTTATCTTCTGTCGGGTGCCGTAAGTGAAATAATCCACTGCCAAAATCGGTGTCGAGTGAGTTAATGCTTTTGCCGCAAGTTTGCAGAAACAATACAAGAATTGATCATAAGTCCCACGTTTTAAGACACGATTATATCCACCCACTGTATCTATTACTTATTTTATAACTTTTTTTTTTAAAGTTTTTCTGTCGAATCTGTGTAACTTTTTCGTTATTTATATATAGCTGCAGTATTAGTTGTTATCTATATTATATGCCCAATTATGTCAGCATTGGCTACCTGGAACGAAAACCATAGACATCAGTGTCGAATAGTCCCAACTTATTTAAGTCATACTGCAGGTTACAGTGACTTGTAAAGTTTGTAAATAGAATCCTCAAGTCCAACCTTGTAAACGAAAGCATAATACTTGATATTACCTTCACTGAGATGAGAAATCAGTTTGCTTGACTTTAGCCTCCACTTTTAATATATTGGTCCACAAATTTCTTCTCCTTTCATTTTCCAGAAGGAACTCGTTCAATTGACTGTTTTTGAACTCATACACAAGCTGACAAATTAATGTTGAGGCTGCTTGACTATATGACAGGATATGAGTGTGTGTACCTTTCATCATCCTGCGAAAACATTACCGAAAATAGCGGTAATGGGTTAATACTCATTCAAATTCCTATTTTGAATCTAAAGCGATTTTAATTTCCCTTCTTTTCTTACGTTTTCTAATTTCGACGCATCTGTAAATTAAATTTGTGAATTTTAAAAACTTCCAAACTCAAACTAGGTTCACAGATTTGGTTTACAGATGGGTCGAAATTAGAAGACAGTAGAATATGGTGGAAATAAATGATCCTAGATTCAAACAATCAATGATACTTATCCAACGCCTTCATAGTCTATTTTCAGTTCCCTAACGTACCTAGAAGCAGATGTTTATTTTTTTATTAGGTGCATAACATTAATTCTTACCAAATGCATAATTCACAGGTTTTTATTCAATGACTCAAAGAGCAATGTTAAGAGGCACTATTGTGGAATAGGAAAAACAATCCCAGATATATTTCTTAACGACACGAAATGATAATAAATTTGAATCATTTGAAACACTTCAATATGAACAACTACTTTATTTAATTTGAAAACAAAGTGCAACTGAATGTAATTATGCTCCATAACTTTTTAGAAATAACTAAGCATCACGGTGGACAAACGATTCACAAGGCTTAAAAATGTTCAACTGAAAAGAATTAGGTGTGCCAAAATTCTTAATCACCTCCAACCGCTATTCAAAAATAAAAATCTCAATGCTAAGAACAGGAAGTTGGTATATAACCAAATATTTCGACCTTCACTTCTATATTAATGTGTAGCTTTCAGCAAGGCCTCAAACACTACTATTCGCCAGCACAAAGTCAGGACGAATGACATTCTCAGGGACCTTAAGATTGATCCGATCAAAAAGTACATAAAGGATAGAGCCCTAAAATTATTTACGAAAACTGCCAGCCTTACCAACACCGCGTTATCGAATCTCGGAATAGTTACAGGCTCCTCGTGGAGGTATGCAGATCTAAGGTCGGTTATTGCTTAGTCTGATGAAATGATAAACAATAGTCCAGTCGGGGGGTAGAGAGAGGTTATGAAGAAACCTCGCAGTTAATAGAGAGTAAAAGTGCTCAAGTGCACTGACTCAACTAACCTCAACATAATAACAGAAATATTATTTATAATAATAATAACAATTAACAAAATGTGAATAAATATTTTGAAGAGAATTTAAATACTAATATACAGAAATTTTATATTTTTGATTAATTGCGATTAAAATTATTCCCGCGAAATTTTGCCAGGACATTTAACTCACGTGCTTTATGGCATTTACACATCAACAAATTTTCTGCATTTCGGTTTGCATTAAATTTCAGAATAAATTTTTATGACGAACCATTTTTGATTGCAGAGCATATTTTAATTATCCTTCCCAAAAAAAATATAAATAAATTTAAATATTTTTGTGAAAAAAATGATTTAATAGCACAAAACTGTCAAAAAACTGTGAGTGGGTAAATATTTTGAAGTTCAGAAGACTTAACAGTGTAAACCTATCCTACCTATCGTGGGATGAGAAAAATGCTGGAAAAAATATTACAATAGTTATTCATATTTTTTATATTCTCAACAATTATTTATTACATATTTTTTTAAACATTAAAAAAGTGTTCGTAAGATTGTCACTTTAACACGAATAAACAAAAATTCTCTAAAGAATAAAAAAAGTATAGTTTTTTATATCAGAAACAGATTTAAGTTTTTAAATTTGAGAATATTTTTTTATTTGTATCAACAAATTGCACTCACAGGTATTTATCTATATATACAGTAATATAAAATACATTACTTGTAAACAATGGTAACTATTTTGAGTCATTAACATCATTAATAGCGCAACGATCCTAAATGAAAGGGAGGCCCTTTGCAATCGCCTCCATGTATCTCTGTCGCTTGCTAGAATTCTCCAGTTTCTTCTTTCAAGCATCTCCATCGCTTGCTCAACGTTGTCTATGCAGTCTGCACTAGAAGAAAGAAGAAAAATAGGTTGACCAAGCTTACGCTCGAAAAACATCTATTTTTAGTGAAGTACTGTTAATTTTATTAATCTGTAATCTATAAGATTAATTATGCTGTCCTTGGAAAGAGTCTCCTAAGCTAACCCAGACATTAATAGGAGTTTTTGACATAGCTAACAACATCACTGAGTTCAATATACCACACCTCATTTAGTTCAATGAAACCTGTAGAAATGTAGTAGTCACGTTTCTTAACAGTCGCGGAACACGGGTTGATAAAATAAATAGAAATTTCACTCTACATTTCACTGAATCTACAGGTCTCGGTGTCTATTAATTCCATATTCAAGACGTCTTTTTTAGAATATCCATATTAAAATAAGTTTTTATTAATCATACCAACAAATATGTTAAAATGTCGTGTCTATTTAATGATAAATAAAATTTTGTTTTCGCCACCCCGCTCTGTCAAGAACAAAGGATTGAGAAGAAAGGAAGAATTTTGTTTAAACTAAAAATCTTACTTACTTACTGACTGTTGTCCTGCTCTCCTACTAGAGTATAAGACCTCCAATGAAAATCTAACACGTTATTATGATAACATAACAACAGTACCTTTTTAAATTTTAACTATAAGATCACCTCTAATAAAGCTTATAAAACAATTAAAACTATCTTGTTTTTCTCAACGCTGACCTATACTATTAAGCCAGTGATCAACAAGTATCTTATTAATCCATTTCTGTAGATTTATGCAAATTTACCCATTTTATGATCAATCGGCCATTTCGCTACACTCCTGTCTTTTAAGTACTGGGAATCATCCTTATTAGATATTATTGTAAAAGTTCTTTACTAATTATTAATCTGGTAAGGCAACAGATGGAGAAAAAATATGAAAGACGGTGGAATAAAAATGGTTCTCAAATAGTAAGACGCGTGTTTTATTTCACATAAAACTAGCGGGTCAAGTCTACCAGTTCTAATAACTCAAACATGTTTTTTCTAGACTATAAGGAAACATTAGTGGCTCCATTAAAATGCTTAAAATTTATGGCAAAACAAATATTTCCTTATTTAATATTATTATAATATTATTATAAATAATATTATATAATATTTATTATATTATTATATATTATTATTATTATATATTATATTATTATCATATTATTTTTATTATCTAAAACTAATTTAACTATCTATATTATATCATATAATCGACATTTCTTCGATTTAAGGTCCTTTTTTTCAAAACCCAAGATATAGAACAACGAGTTAAACAATAATATATAGATTTTTTAATATTTTAATAGATAATATTAGAAGTATTGATATAAAATTATTATTTCTTAAGAATATTTCTCAGATATAGGTCTTTTTAGGTCGGTGATGGACGTGTTTCAGCAAAGTTTTCTTGAATACTGTGTATATGTGTTTGTGTTCAAAATTATCCTCCTCAAAAGCTGTCATAAATTGCAACAAATCAGTTTCTGCATTTATGATTATTTTAAACACTGTTTTTTTTTAAAGCATATAACTATATATATAATATTATTTTTGTATGACTATATATATACAATTATTTACATGACTATATATATAAAAATTTATTTATAACTATATATACCTATAAAATTATTTTTATGTGACGATATGTATACAATTACATATATGACTATATATATAAAATTATCTTTGTGACCATATATATAAAATTATTTATACTAAAATAAATAATTTAAATAAATAATTTATTCAAATTATAATTTATATTCTAATTGAAATGGATTTTTTGCCATAGAGCATATATATATAACTATATAATGTTTTTTAATTACCTTATTAATTATTAATTAAAACTAATATTAATATTTTTTCTTACGGGCTAATTGGTCAATAGTTATATAATAAATATATAAATAATAAATATATAATAAAAATTATTTAATTTTCTTCTACTTCTCTAATATTAATTTCTTTTTTTTTTCAGAGTACACCGCTGCAGATTTGGAAGAACAATGCAAACACATATTTTGTCCTGTAGTATTAGAATGTCCTGAGGACAGTTTCCTTAAAATATACTCTTCAGATGAGATCGATGATTATGAAGAAATTCAATTTCATGTGGAAGAATTAAAACCATCTCCTCAAAACTTCACAGAAACTTCAGACGATGTTAAGATCACTGAAGAAAGAGTACGCCGAAAGCGGGAATTTTCTTTCGTAGATAGCAATGAAAAAGACATATTGAGGATATGCTGCCAAGTAAATGACTGCGTTTGCAAAAAGTGTCCTGAAGTTATGAAATGTGGCGAAAATGAAGTTGCTGTCAAAATACGAGAACCACAAGCGAAGCCAGGCAGTTGCTGTCCAGTCTTCAAATGCGTGGAAAAAGTAGATTGCGATGTTACAAATGGTGAACCACCTAAATTCCAAGAGTATTGGCGTGATGCTTGCACAAAATGCAACTGCTATAATATTTGTGAGAATCACTGTCAGAACGATGATCCCAGCAGGCAGTTGGGAATGCAAATGAAGAATTGTTATTCATCTTATTTGCAAATGCCAATGCTACATGGTGAACACTGGTTTGAAAATAATTATTGCACTGAATGCGATTGTATAGATGGTTACCCAGATTGTGTTTCAAATCTCTGTGATGAACCACGCTGCAAAAACCCGATTAAAGTAGCAGGGCAATGCTGCCCTGTTTGTACAACTGAAATTGATATGGAAATGGAAACTACAACAGCAAAATCTACACAAAAACCAGTAATAGAAAATGTTACCACCACTACAGAAGCATTCCCATTGAGTACTGAAAATAACACAACTGCATCTGAAGTATATTATACTGCAAATACTACTACGATATTTAATACAACTACAGATTATATGACGAATAGCACAAGCACAGTTTCAGCAATCGTAGAAGAGAATAAAATTGAAGACACAGACAGTACAGTTATTTATGAAAATACAACACTGTCTACAGCATATGCAGCTTTATTGGAAAATACTACTGAAACAGAATCAACAAGTGATCATTTCACAGACTCGAGCACTGAAAAAAATTCTTCAAGTTCTATGTCAAGCATAGCATCAAGTGATATTGATTTTGTTGACACTTCTTCTACAACTACAACAACCACAACACAAGCTCCAGTCGTTTCAACAGATTCTTCAACCTCAACAGACTCTTCAACAAATACTTCAACAGATTATTTAACAAATACTTCAACAGAGTCCGCTACTTCATTATTTTCTAAAAACGTGACAGAAACAATACTAGAAGTAGAAATTTCCACACCATCTACTACTTCTACTAGCCGAGTATTAAGCATAATTACAAGTACTACTACGGATACACCGATAGGAAGTTCTACTACATCTACAGAAACTTTTTCAACTTCTTCAAGTACCATGAATATATCAACTGAGGTGTCTAGTACTACAACTGTTGCACCAACTGAAACTTCCAGCGCATCTACACCAATCACGGATGGTCCGTTAATAAGCTATAGCACAACTGAGGAACAAGTATCGAGCAGTACTGGAGTAATGACATATACATCTGCGCCTCCACCTTTACCTTTACCTGAACCACAACCCACAAGCTATAGACAAAATGTACCTGGTCTACTAGCTCAAAATAATGACAATGAACAACAGATTTATCCAGCTTTAGGGACCGTCCAAAAAATCGTCAATTGGTTCTTTGACTTACCTCCAATTGTCATCGCTCTGGTACTATTCATGTTGTTGATGTTCTTCGCTGGCATTGCTTATGTAGTTTATCGCTGTACCAGGAGCAAGAAGAACCTGTATTCGACGGTGCCCATTTCGGATTTAAGTCTGAGTCAAAGTTCCACAAACTCTACGGTGACAGAAAGCAATGTTACTATTCAGTTTGAAAACTAATGTGGTGATATTAAAAGATACAAATATGTTAATCTCAAAAGTTATTTATTGAATGAAAAACTATGCTAAGAAAACTCATTGTTAAGAAATATTAGTTTAATTTTATTTTGATTGTGATTTCATTTCATTCATTTATATAAATGTTTATATTACTTTGTTATAAATATTTAACTACATATTTCACATGTACATTTTAAATTTGTAATTAAATTTGTATTATTTTGTATATAATCACCTAAAAATAATATTTATTATTTTATAATATTTGTAATAAGTTAATTCAGGGTTAATTCGTGCTTTAGGTTTCAAACAGAAACCAAGCAATATCCTCATAATGTCCTAAAAACCCAAATTCCAAGTTATTAGGATAATTAATTTTGCTATTTAACAATGAGAAGTGTGAGTAGTTAAAGTAGGAAGAGAACAAACTCTCTTGAAATAATTATATCCAGCAGAAAAATGTTGGAGACAGATAAGATCTGTTTAGGAGGTGGCCCAAGAGGCTGTACAAGAGTCCTTAACACTCTTAAGATAAGATATAATTAATCTTATATAACTTAATGATATGGGACATACTTAAGATATATATCTTAAGTTTGGAAGTAACTTTCTCCACAAGATTTATTTAATAGAAATTATAAAGAAATTTCATGAGTATTTTCCCATACATAAAAAAGAATTTCTAAAAATAGATAATTATATTTAAATACCGTGACAACACATGAACATAGCCAGAGACATAGACAAATGTGTTTTTGTAACAAAATAATATGTCGGTCAAATTTTATGGGGTCGGAAGTATGCTACCCCCATGCAAAAAGGGGTAGCACCAGACGGAACTTGAAACTTTTATAATTCCTTAGATAACACACAAATAATATGTGCAATTCTGAATCTTAAAACTTGTGTCTAAAGAACTCTGGCCATTCCTAAGTTGGAAATGAAAACACTTTAAAACTTAAATTGGCACAATATATAATATATTAAAAATAGGCGAGAACAAAGAATTAAGTCCGCACAAATATATTCTAAAATATTGAACTTGAACAGAACAATCTCAATAATTTGCAGTCCTCATTACACTATCAGAATTCGTGTGGAATATAAAGTGCCGCTCAACGAACACTTCACAGACAAATCCAGTTCTTGCGCGAATATAGAGACTCTATAACCAAGTTACACATTCCACTAAGTTCTATTACTGCAACCTACAAATCTCTAATGTTTGTTATATCTATGGACTTCTACTTCCTAGACGTCCATATTACTTATAAATATTAGTTTGTAATATATAATTTTGTTCTAGAAGTTCTATTTATTTGTTTTTGTTTTTTGTATATAAAACTTACATCACTTTTTTTTCGCCATATACGAGTATTGTGCCTCAATTATCTACGACGGTTAATGCACTAAAAGATTATTTCTTGACTAATATTTTTTAAAATCATAACGAATTGAATTTATAATTTTTCGAACAAATTTCAATTGCAATATGTATTTGCACATTTAACATTTATATACATATGAACATATATATTATATATTATACAGACAAATACATATATATTAGAAATAAGCGTACAATTATTTTAAGGGAAATTTTTTCAACTATTGTATTCGCCTATATAGTATTCATGCATTAATATTTTACAACTTATGATAAAATATTGTTATTTTATAATAACAAAAACGAAAAGTAATTATTATATATGTATGTATATAAATTTATATATATTTATAATGAAAATAATTAACTTTCAAATAATGATTTAATATAAATAAACTGAAGTACACAAGAAGGATTAAAGCTTCCTGTGTACGAATTTATATTTTTAAATTAATTATTTTTTTATCGAAATCCAATTAAAAAACACACAAATTAAAAAACAAAAAAAACGAAAAATGTTCGATATTATATATGCTTTAATTATAATTATTGTAAATTTTTTTATTAATTTAACTCATATTATATTATAATTAAGTGTATTTTTTTGTATAAGCTTTGTTTATTTTTTATTTTTTTTTATAAATGATATATGTAATATTAAAGGATATACAGAAATATATCCTGACTGATTTGCTTCTATAAATTCCGTAATTTGAAGAATTAATAATTTATTTTATGCTATTTGTTATATAGTATAAAAAATACTAAAATCTTATTTATAATCAAATTGAAAATTCTTTGAAAAACATTTGTTGATATATCTAATCAATTATATTTACATAAATTGTTATATTACAGACAAGAAGACAAATAAAAAAATATAATTGCAAATTAAAAATATGTATTTTAACTTTTATTAAAACAGCAAATTTAATTAAATTTAAATATATTGATTTAGACAAATTCCTTTGATAATTTAATATGAAGACCACATGTCTAACCCATTCTTTCTTATGTTTAAAACATGTTTTTTTAGTAAATTCAATCAGTTTTAAAATACTGTATAATGAGGTTTTAATAGTAGTGAAATACAACACTAAATATTATTTTTATGTTATTTTAATTAATTGAATTTTTGGCTGACCATACAACTGTTTCAAGTATTGCCAAATACCCATCATCAGTAGTCTTGGAAATAACTCTTGTATTTAATTATTCCTAAACAATTTTTTGAGACTGCCTCGACCTCGTGCCCTGCCAAATTTGAAGCTCAGAGTCAGCGCACCTTAACCAACTGACCCAAAGCCGTATTTTATAACAAAATAAATAATTTTAAATTTTTAAAAAAAACTTAGCAATAATGCTAATACTAATGTTAAACAAGCAACTATTGTAAAAAACATATATTATTTTTTTCACTAAATGAGATATTGCCTATAGCTTTCAACCACCTTCTGCGCTTATTCAACTTGAACCATTATAACATTATTGTAGACAGTCGAGCTTTTATTTTTGAAAAGCTATTGCTAATATTTTTTATAATCGTCTTTTGAAGTCAATTTTATACCAACAAGAAAGTCTTCCAAAATCGGCATAAGCCACATAGTGTGTCAAAATGTTCTATCCATAATCTCTCAGATTTTTCCCGGTCACGAAAAATATATGACACCAAGCACAGTACAGAGGATTATGATGAAACACTGCAGATTGCCTTATGATTAGTTCTTACCTCTTTCATTCAATTTTTTTTCCTTATCCCTAATTATAGCTAATAGTTAAGATTTAGATTTGCCTAAGCAATAATAGCTTTCGAGCGTTGATTCCCAATCAATTATAATAAACACATAGTATCATTTTTTTCTTATCCAACCCACTTCTACTATCGCTTGTAAAGCCTCATCTATTTTAAATAGTATGAATTTTTTTATAGCACAAGTATTATTATTTGTGACCCACTTTTAATCACTTGTTACCAAACCTTTCAAAACTTGTTGCATTTCGCTAGCAACTGAACTTGACTGAAATTTATTATAATAAATGTCATTTATTATGATAAAAGCTTAAATACTAAGTTCGTTGTCGTACGAAAAGACGTAGCGAACGTAGAAAATGTGATTTCTTACCACAAAATACACACAAAAAAGCATAGAAACACAAACAACACAAGTTCAATCCGATCACCTATTCATCATCATCTATAACTATACAACCCATGTAGGACCTACCTAAGCCTATTTCACAACAGTCTTCCATTCTTCTCTATTTTTTGTTTTCTTTTTCTTCTAAGTCCTGTTACACACTATCTTTCCATCGTTTTCTTGTTCCATTTTTTCTTCTGCTGGTTAATACTTCGTTCTCCGCGGTACTCTTAAGCGATATTATCATATCTGGCATTCTTATCACATGTCCAACCCATACTAATCGCTGCTTTTAATAAATTCGTGCGATCACCTATCAAGATTTGTTGTAAACAGAATTTATCATTTTTTTATAAATCAGAATTTATATAGAACTGCCGTACCTCCAGACCACACAGTGTTATTCAGTGACGTCTTCTGGATGCAATAACATTATATTTCGTCAGTTACGAACAGTTACAGTTACGAATAGATTAGATTTTTAGAGTGGATCTTATTAGTAACTATATCCGCTAATTAAAATATTACTATAAAAAATTCGGTAAGAAAAATATATATTTTTATAGTAAGTTTTCAAAATTTTAGCACATTCAACAGTTGGTAAACGATCCATATTGTAAAATGGCGAATCTTGACCTAAACACATATTGTCTTGCGTTACAGTTCCGTTCGACTCTTAACTTTCAACAAAGAACTGTAATATTTTGATGGTAGTATAAACTCCGTTCCTATTAATACGTTCACAGGACCTAGTCTTATTATAAAAAGGAAAAATCAAAATAAAGTGTTGTTTTTAAGTACGTCATATTTCCCAAAGAGTGCATCTCTTTGGATCGCCAGTACAACCTGGGTAAGTAATATATCATTGAAGAGAATACACGATTCTTTACTCGACCAGTTCGTTTTACAAACTAATGAACATTTTGTGTATGTTAACGTGTTTGCTAGGCCTAAAACCCCTGAATACTGCTATTGTTTTTTAGACTACTAAAAGATTATTTAAATTCTTTTATTGTTTATTTTTATAAGGAAATGTATCAGGGCGATAGAACTTTCATTTCTATTGAGAATCTCTCGATCTTATTTCCTCAATAAATAGCAGAATTCGTTCCATTTTACAAAGTTTTCAAATGTTTATTTATATTAAACATTTACATTATGTTTTGTGGTCCCCACTTCTTCTTCGTATATTGTTTTTTCTATTGTTTTTTTTTTTTCTTTCTATTAAAGTAATATAATTATGGTATATATGGTATAAAAATAAATAAATGGTATATGAATATATGAAATCTATTATATTTTTAAAATCACAATTGAAAAAAAAGGACTTTACATATAAATGCCTTGCTGTTCCACAAACCGAAAAACTATAAAAAATTATTAAAAATTAAAATTAATTTTTTCCAACTATAATTATATAGTATTATCCTTTAAGAACAGCTGTCTATATAAAAAAATGAAAAAACAAAAAAAAATTATTTTTATGCTTTACAAAGAAAGGAACGCAAACAATTTTAATTTAAACTAAATTTTGTGTTCCTGCTCACCTCACAAAAGCACTTATTTTTGTAGTTTGAATCTAGGAAAAGATAACATTTACTCAAAATTGTTAAAATTAAAAAAGTTTTGAATAAAAACACGAATAACACAACTCAACTACAATAAAAATTGGAAATGAATGCCAACAATAGAAGAACTCAATGGAATGATTCAAAGGAGTAATTCAATGAAATGTCTATTGTTGGAATAGATATAGACAAATGATGAGATGTAAAATATGTAAAATGTTTCTATGTAAAATGAATAAATTAAAAATTGTTTTAAACTATAATAAATTGGCAGAGATACTATTTCAGTGCTTTGAGGTACTAAGATAGAGAGATACTGTTTCAGTGCTTTAGTATTTAATAACTTATCTACTTATGCCCTGATTGACTTCTCATCATCAGGGCATTGATGTGTGGCTTTCATAAGGATTTAAAAAAATAATGAGTAAAGAATTAAAAACAAAATTATTTGTTATACTAAAATCAGCATACTTAGTTTCAAATAAAAATAGAATCATTAAAGGTTTCACCTGAGGGCCATGTTATGCAAACTATCATATAACGAATGTTCGAATAGTTGAACATTCTTTTTGGCCATAACCATTAAGGCTTGTACTACAGACAGTCAAATCACAATTGTCAATTTCTACTTTTGTAACTAGTATTTTGATACTTTCATTGTGCCTAAATTTAAAAAGTAATATTTTTTATGTAGATATCGACATATGGTATACCCATACAAAAATATATATATTGCTTTCTTACAATCGTAAATCGCTGGTCAAAACAGGTCAAGTTTTAACCAACGAGAAAACCTCGTCACTATGACCCAAAATTTAAGCGAAATTTTTCTCTTGTTCTCATTCTTTATTTCAAGAATTACCAAATATAAAAAATGATAAAGAAGTTTTCGAAAAGTAGTGAACTAAAACAACAAAAATTATTTTTTATATTATTTTAATTAATTGAATTTTTAGCTGATCATACAGCTGTTTCGAGTATTGCCAAAAACCCATCATCATAAAAAATAATAACAAGACTAAAGCGTTTGATAACGTGCGGCATAACAGCCTCTTTTATAAAAATGGAAAAAAACTTACTACGAAAGAGTTATGTTACTACTACTTTATAAAAAGTTGTGTAGAGAACAGATAATTTTGTGAAAAGTGAAGAACATATCAGTGATGAAATAAATGAATCTGGAGTACCATTTATCCATTTTCTACAGATTTTCACGAATCCAATTATCGATACACACTAATATTGATATATTAATATTATCTGAAGATATAGATTGAATATTTGGGCTGGAGATTTTGGGTATAGCTAGGAATTCTAATATATTAATCATACAAAGGCGGCAATTGAAAGATCTGTGTGCGACTTACATAGCTATCTGTAGATGGACAAAATTATTGAAGTACTATGTAAATCCTACGCAAAACATATCTTGGAATCACTTATCTATAACCAACTACTAACTAGAATAACCGCAATCCAAAAGAAGTTTCCAGGACTTGGAAGCCAATTTGATGGTCATATAATCGCTCATAATACTAATCTCCCATATTCTCTAGACTATATTTTTTATCTTATTTTAGTAATTCTACGTGATAAGTATGTATATGATACGTAAATTTAGCGGGATAGATTTAGTCTCTACTCTTATACACTAGGGTTCTTGCGAGATAAAAATATCCACAGATTTAAATTATTCAGACATCCTTCACGAGATCCTATAATATTCAACGTATAAGAGAAACTGATTATGATGATGAACATGAGATCTATTGAGACAATAAGCCTTGTGACTAGCAACCATATTTTATTTTAATATTAATATTTCTTCTTTAATTGCTTCGTCTCTAAGCTTCTACATTCAGTTTCAACAACAAACTTCAAGCTTCAGTAATTATTACTAAGCGGTACTGACTTATTCAGTTCTTTTCTGGTATATTCTTCCATTACAAACATAGAAACAAAGAAATATGCCAAAGACTAGATAGAAAAAATTTTTTTTTTTTTAAAAAGTTTAGAAAATCATGTATTTTTTTGACAAAAATAGACCGCACTCAATACTTTCACTTAAAAAACTAATTTAAGTTTAAAAATAAATACTTGAAATACACCAGCCATTAAATGCTTTAGTCACAAAGCATTTATTAGAAATATAGGAGACCTGAAAATTCTTACACTAATTCACCCTTCATATACAAATCTTCCATATCCTTCAGTTTATTCAAAGCCCGTACATTGTCATTTTCTTTAGTGATTGTTTTTATTGAAGGTGTATGCACACGTAGATAAGGATTCCATAGCTTTTCTTCCATGAGGGTCGAAGGAATAGTCGAATATTTTGCACTACGTCGAGTCTCTGCCCAATTTAAACGCCTTTGGATGTGATAATTTTCAGGGTCTACTTTCATAGCGAAGAGAAGATTCTCTACTGTATTCTCATGACCTCCAAAAATTAAAGTGTCGTCAGGCAGCTTAGCTAATTTCTTGTACAAAGCCTTATGGAGATCATAGTAGCTGCCTTCGATAACTTTACCACAGCCGGCTTGATAAAGTGTATCACCGGTGAAGAGTGCGCGAATATCTTTGTTGGGCGATTCGACGAAATAACACATGTCTCCACTCGTGTGAAACGGTGTGGATATACATTTTATGGTACTATTGCCGAAAGTAATTATATCGTTATCATGGATTCTCCTAGTTAGCGCTGGAATACGGCTCTGACTGCCATAGACTTCGGGTATATTTTTAGTCAACTGCAGTAGTTTTTTATTCCCACCAGAATGTTGGTAATGGAAATGTGTCGTTAGTATGGTCGACAATTTTAAATTTGGCATTTTTTTGATGTATTTTAGTACCAGTGTCACATCAAACGGATCAACCACGGCAGCTTCATTAGTCTGAACATCGATTATCTAAAATAAAATTTTTATGCTTTGTAAGTGAAAATATTTTTTTATAAAAAAAATCGTTTTGATGGTGATCTATTTATAATGGAATTAAAAATCAAAAAAGTAATTAAGATTTCCTAATAGAATAATCCAAAAATTAATTATAAACCTGATCCTCGATAATATCAATTATTTCGCAGAAATAGCTTTATTTAATATCATCTATAGGAACAATCCATTTATGAAGTTTATATATTTTAGTTTGAGATCTTTGTATGTGGGATGATAATATATATTCTTATGGTATAAAATATTATTAAAAAACAATATAACAATACAACAATACAACTAGGTATCACCAGCAGTAATACCTAGTTGTGATTTAGACGTGGAGTTGTGAAGTCGAGCAGTAGAGTAATGTAGAGTAGTGAAGTAGTAGAGTAATGAAGAGTAGTAATAAAGTGAACATATTTAAATATTAAAACTGTACTAAAATAACTATAAATAATATAAAGTATATATAATAAAAAGTATATATAATATTAAAAGCTTGAGATATTTCAATATATTGTTCTTTTATTATAATATTATGTTAGGGAATTTTGCAATCTTGAAATCATAAATAAATGAACACGATCAATATACCACACAAGATCCATTGATTTGTTTACAGTGTCGGTTGTATCCCGCATCTTTAGGTTTTCCAGTGTCTTAGCATTTATTTGAGATGTATTGTAGTTACCACCTTAGGAATATGTGCAGTTCAGTTCAGTAGGCAGCTATTCTATAGTTCTATCTCATATACCTAGGCATATAGCGATAATAATCTTATAATTATCTATAGAACCAAATCATTTGAATAGCACTTAATTTAGATTCTATATTTTAAAATCAGAACGGAAGTCAATAATGTATATATTTAAGGAAACTATAAAGCGATTAAACATGATCCAGAACCTTTGAATTGTGGATAAGTTAAAGAGTATGGTAATTTAAAGTACCACCATATTTGTGGCTGAGAAACTAAATGTGATAATCGGACTCATGAATATAATTCCCAATGTGTGCCTCGATCACTAGGCAAATCGCTGATTGTAACAACTGGGTACTTTTATTCTAGAAGTCAATAGAGGTAAAAAGGGAAAAATAAGACCAACTTGATGGGCTGATCAATCGTAACTACAGTTGGGAGGAACGATGAGAGAAACAATACAACCAAGGCATGATTGAACAGAATGGCATACAGCAACGATAAATTGCTTTTACAATGTAATATGCCAGTAGGCTCTGTTGAAAACAGTGAAACACTGTAAGAAGCAGAAAGAATTCATTTAGCCATTATTTATCATGCCATTAGCTACAGATATTATTTTCCCTATTAAGATTGCTTGATGAATATCCGATTTGTTTCAAGGTAGAACACATATTAAAAACTTCACTCTGACTTACTTAAGTTTTTAACCATAATAGTTGAATTATAAATACTGTTCAATGTTCTTGAACAGGTGTTTTTGTCGATAGCCGGTCCGCAGACCACTACCGATATGCGTCATTAGCATCACTGGTCCGTGAAGTATCGTATTTTGGACTTAGTACCGATTCTTGTAAAACAAATTTTATATTTCACTGGTCCTTGTAACGTATATTGAATATTTTACTGGTTCAAAGTATATTTTAGGTTGAAAACTAGTAAATTTATAGGCTTTGAGTGGTTAATTATAATGGTTATTGTCTATGTGAAGTGCGATATCAATATACGTTTAACATTAGAAGTACATTCTCCGTCTACTCCTAGAACAAAAACAAAAGTTAGTCCAAGAAAATAAGTCTGGGTCACTCACTTGAGTTGATGCTCACTCTACATAGTACAATCGTACAATGAAATAAAATAATTGGTTTTTTCTTTGTTAGAGAACCAATCCGAATCTCGTAATATTGCTTTTTCTGTTTAGTTCATGTGATAGTTGGTTAATTGCTTGCAATGGAAGTTCAGTAGATGTCCTAATACTGCCTATAAATACCGATCATTCACTCTTTTACTACCATGTTTCTCGTAAGAAAGAGATAAAGAGATTAAAAGAAAACTAAATCTACCCCGTTGTACTCCATTGCGTGATAGTCTTGAAGAGATTTTATTGAAGAGATTTTGAATATATATGCTTTTATAATATTTTGTTTACTATACGAGCATTATTATCTGTAAAAATATTTGAAGGCCTCACCAAATACATTAAATTGCTTTCTCCAGCTGGCAACGTTAATATTTTCAAGCTGCCCATGTCAAAACGCTCTAAGAAACTGTGCATGGATCTTTGTAGAATTGTATTTCTAACATCTGAGGCTTCTTTAAGACTTGGTAAATAAAACCTACTTTCGGCTATTGTTGCTTCTTTTGCAGTCGAATCATCAAATGGACGAGGGAAGAGCACTGGAGTCAGGGAAATGAATCTGATGTAATTTTGGTTTTTGATGCATTTTAAAAAAATTTGTATAATTTTTTGTGTCGGACGGCATATTCTCAATAGCATTTTATAGTTTTCTTTTTAACCTAAATTTAAACATTTTTAACGAAACTGAAAATTTTACACATTTTTTCCTAAAAAAAATTTTGACGAAACAGAAATTTTGCGGTCTAAAATAATTTCAAAACATTTTTTTAATTAAATTTAATTTAAATTTGGTTACTGAGTTCTATAAAAAATTAAAAGCCGTTCTGGTAATTGATTTCAGTGTTGGAAGAGTTGCAACCGATTTGGTTTAAGTGACATGAAACCTACAGGATCCTTTATTTTGAATACTTATACTTCAATTTAACACTCCGATGGGCACATGTTTCGATAGTCACGTATGGTACTCATGGGTCTGGCCAGACCCTTATGCGTTTTCATGCATTTGTACGTAAATACTGAGTACTTTAATGAGTTATTGCATTAATATGCGATGTATTTATATATTTTAAATTGTTTATAGCTTAGATTTTTATTAATCTTCATATTTTTTTACATTTTTGCTAATAAAAATATCGAAAAAATAAAGAAAGTGACATTTGTATGCAGTAACATTTTATTATTTTATTAAAATAAATAATATAAATTTAACAAAAACTAATATATATTTATTTGGCTATTATTACAACAATTAAAACATATATATTCAACTTTAGAATGTTGTTGACAAACTGGATTTGAACATTTGATGCAAAAGAAACGGGTTTTGCGGGATAGTTTTTCACCTTTTGAACAAATGTTGCAATTTTTCTTCTTCTCGAGGGTATCTGCCCCACTAACGCCAGTCACGACTTGTGGTGTAAAATGTAATTGTTTACCGAAAAACGATTCCATAGTATCACTATAAATGCATCTATCTCAGCTTCAGTAACATCGCTTCAAACTTTTTGTACTTTATTGGGATTATCCACATTCCATTTATTAACTGAATCTCTTCCATACCGATTTGTTTCGGTAATAATGACTTGGATAATGTTTGATGTGAAAAATTTCTTAAATACCTCAAGTGGAATGGAGTTTTTTTCTTTAGGTCCTGCTCGGAAGCGCATAATATTGTGTTGACATATGCTAACACCGGCATTCAATTCATTTTTACTCCATTTTGTTCCATCTTTACCATAAAAATATTTTTCGCCAACACTTTGTTGTTGTGTTGCAGGAACTTCCTCATCGTTATCTTCTATATCAAATAGTTCATTTGGTTCGATAATTAATACGTCTTCAATATCAGATGCATCGTCCTCATTTGGTATGAAATCTGAATCATTATCTGCTTCATCATTGGGAACTTGATCTACTTCTTCATGCTCCTCTATAGCTTCCTCTTAGTCCATATCGTCGGCTAAAGCTGCTACTAGGCGATTATAAAGTGAGGTGTCGAACTCATCACTGAGGTTTTGCGTGTTATAAAGCAACTCAATTTCATCACTCATTTTTAATATAATAAATTTTAGTTAAAACAAATGTTTCGAAGATGTTTGCTGCAACCATCACTGAGACTACGTTTCAAATAGATCGGAACTATAATTTGGCTTCCTTTTATATAAAATTCATTCCATTGCAGGTAACAGCAAAAATATTTTTGAAGTAAACAAAGTACCATTTGCAAAAACGATTGTCACTTGCATTTTGCTCATGTTAAAATCGTGGGAAACACCTTATTTTAGGAAGTTAGTAAGAATACTGGCATAGAATGCCTAGTTCTGAAATTAAAAGTCGCCGAATTTTGCTCGTAGTAGAATCGTGGGAAATACCTGTTTTTGGGAAGTTAGTAAGAATACTCGCATAGAATGCCTAGTTCTGAAATGATTAAACTTAACCGAATCTTCACGACATTTCACGTCTGCAGTGAATCCAATTAAATCTTTTTTTTTAAATATATAATAAATATATCAATATATAATGTTTATAAATTATATTATATTATTAAATTATTATTTTAATAAACTTTTCTTTTTATTAAATTAACAAAATATCTTTCATTTGAGATTTTGATGTTTTCAAGTATTTGGCGAATACGTGCATGATTTTCGAATACAGATATTCCAATATATTTACGTATATTTTGGTAATTATTGTTTGGTTCTCATCAATTTTTTTTGCTTTTTGTTATTAATAAACAACATAAGCTTTTCAATAGTCTAAACCGACAGTTTTAGCATAGATATATTAAGAAAAAGTGAAAAATGCAAAAAATGTCATCATTTTTCATACAAATTGTATGTGGATCTGGCCAGACCTTTGAGTACCGTATGTGATGTGTACACCAAAACATGCTTATAATTATCCTTTGTAAGCTTTATCGCCACGATTTGCAGATCTGTAGTCAATAAAATTGTAGGAGGGTACCTGAAATTTCAAATCGCTAGCTAAATTAGAAATGTATTTAAATTGTGTTTGAAATCAAAAAAGGTCTGGCCAGACCCATGCGCCTATCGGAGGGTTAAAAATCGCTATTATTCATTCTTGTCTAAGCATACATTCTATATAAAAATGTGTTAAATTATTTCCAAAATCCTTAAGCATTTATTTTGCCGTATTCAAAATAGGTTCCATTAAGTTAAGTTATCACGTGACCCCACCATCCATACATTTTTAGGTATGACCTTCGACTCCAACAGCAAGTATTCTTTCATGGCCGCAATCAACACGAAACTCCTTCATCGAAGTGGTATTTCTAATTTCAGGAACAGAAAAGTCATAGATCATATTAGGTGAGTACTGTGCTGGATCTGTTCCATTCAATGTATAAAAGAAACGTTTCAGATTGTCTTCATTATCTGAAATTAGAACTCTTCCTTATCATGGCATTACATTATAAATTTTGCCCCAAGTATATATTCCAAATTATTACTTGTGTGACTTTAATTATTCAGTTTATTCTAGTATTAAAAAGGCTGGAACTTACTGTTACTTTGCTATATTCGTGATGCAGCTGGACAAAATTACGTTCTTGTTCTTGATAAATGTTATGTGAGAGTCATAACATATAACTATAATGAGTAGGTGATTTTAATTTTTTTTAAAGCGGGAAAACATTCCAAATCCTTACCGTATAAACCAATTTAATAAAGTCTACAGAACAAAGATACATCAATTTGTTAAAATCTCGGAGTTTTTATATGATTTTGAAATACATCCTTATCAAATACCAAATAAAAATAGTTAAGGAAAGTATTTTAAAATGTAAATCTAGTATATTTAACTGACTCTACAGTTGTTTTGAATATTACCAAATATCCATTATCAGTGGTCTTGGAATTATTTCTTATATTTACTTATTCGTAAATAGTTTATTAAATTCGTTAATATATTTTTGCACTTCCCCAAAAATAAACTCAATAAAATTTCATCGTCGCTGAAACGATTGCAAAATACCATGGGTTTAAGATATATTTTTTTCCCACCTTGTCAAAACTAAAGAATATCTTCTGACCTCTCTATTTCCCTTTCCCTCCTCCCCCCCACCATCAACTACCACCCATCCACATCCTATCTCATGTAATCCTTTCGTATTATCCGCTTTCAATATCCAACAACACCGACAATACGACATCGCACGGGGAATATGATTAGTAGACCCCTTCGAGCACCCTGCATGAGTCAATTCGTATTAAAAATACATCGACACCTATTGTGAGTTCCAGTACAGTTTTAGGAAAGAAAGATACCATTTTCATACGATACAAACTGACCTAGGAAGTAGGAATATACCCATATGCTGAACAATTCCGAATGTGTGCCCTAACTGCAATTCTATAACCCATGACGTCACCCACTTGTTCTTCTGTCCTAATGCACACACTAATTAATAACCTACCGATCTATATTTGCATCACATTTGAATGTCTACATGTCTGTACTTTGACATAGAGTAGTTCCAATTTATTTGGTCATCTAATTCGACTATAATTCATTGTCGTGCACGGGAATTCATACTCTCGTCAATACATTCTATAAATATTCTATAAACAACAACATGAGTATCTCTGTCCAGGTATGTTGGACAGAGATACTCATGTTGTTGTTGTTGTTATTGTCGTAACCCGCTGCGACCTGAAAACATATGACATGTAAAATTTACAAGACAAATACATGGGTTAAGATGTGGATGGATGGTGGTTGGGGTAGGACCTGTTATTACTAGCTATTTTTAAGGCTGTTTGTGCATCAATTGTTATTATATCAATGATATTCATTATCACAGAGACTTATATCGTTATTGTACACTTAATAACTTTATTGTAGCGTTAATATATCACAAGAATTGTTCTAACTTTTTTGACAGAAATATGTAAACTTTACTGAAAAAATAAAAATCAATTTTAAATATGAAATTAAATTCCTTCTAACTTTTGAAATAATTGCTTCCAAATATTGTTCACCAAGACCCCATTAGAAATATTCATTCATTTGCATTAATAATTGCTGAAATTGCTTATTTAAGCCTTGAAATTGTCCTTTTCCTTGCGCAAGCTCCGCATTGTTCTGATTGGATCTTTTTCTCCGGCATGCTGTTGTACAGATGTCTCGTGGACGCGCATAAATGGATTCCACATTTTCTCTTCACCAATGGTAGAAGGCACTGTAGGCGTTTGCGCAGCCCGCTGTAATCTTGCCCACTCGATGCGACGCAATATGGCGTTATTTTTAGGCTCAACATGTCGCGCGAAGGCCATGTTTTGCAAAGTGTACTCATGACCACAGAAAACTTTAGTTTCATCCGGTAAGGATGCTAATTTGACACAAAGCGCAGTATACATTTGATCAGGGGTGCCCTCGAAGAAACGTCCACAGCCACCTTGAAACAATGTGTCACCAGTGAAGACGACACGATCACCATTGGGCGCTTCTATATAGTAACAGATGTGCCCAGAGGTGTGACAGGGCGTAAACAAGCAACGTACAGTTAGAGAACCAATGTTGAAGGTGTCATCCTGCGTCACTTTCACATTTAGCGCACCAATGCGGTCATCACCGCCAAATACCTGCAGCGGTGCGCGGAACATCTTGACTAGCTTTTCATTGCCACCGGCGTGATCCCAGTGATGATGAGTGGTTAGAACTTTGGTTAAATTGACTTCCTCTTTCTGTACATTTAAAATGACCGATTCGGCGTCTACGGGATCGACAATAGCCGCTTCGCGTGTCGCACGATCGATTATCTAAAACAAATATTAAATAAATATTAATTTAAATTATATTTTAAATAATTTCTATTTTTTTTTAATTTTTTACCAAATACATGTAATTATCCTCCAAGGCGGGCAAAATCTTCACTTGCATCGCAGACATTTTTATATCGTCAATGGAACTGTGTGCACCTCTTAGACCAACTTTGCGCAGTTTTTGTGCTGCAACGAATGCAAATAAAGGATGTAAACACAAATTACAAATAATTCGTAAAGGAAAATGCATTTCTTTTCAAAATATTATAAATGCTTAAAATAAATATTAAATAATAAAAATATCCGCGGCGCCATCTGCTTTTCAATACATGCACATCAAAACTGTACTACCTTAGCGTATACACAAATCACAGACATAGGAATTTTGAGTAAATTATAACAGTTTCGTCAATAATTGTTATTATTGGAATTGTTATCAAATTATAACAGTTTAAAGCCAGAAAAATTTCAAGTAACAACCATTTTTGAAATATTATTTACACTAAATATAACTCAATTTGAAATAAATTTGAAAAAATACAAAATTAATTTCAATAATTCAAATCTTCAAATCAAATTATGCTACTGTTTTAATACAAAAAAAAAATTATAAATTAATTTTTATTCATTTAGAATAAACACAGATATTTAAGTGCTTTACTTGAGCTTCTTGCAATAAAAGCTCTACACAACAACAACAACAACAATATTAACAAACACTTGATAACAAACAAACCTATGAAATATGCGGCTGTAGCATTTTGGGTGATTCCGAATTGAATTTTTTTCCAAACATTTGTAAGCATTATAATCACAATAAAAAAGAATTTAAATAATTATATATTAACACTACTAAATATGTTATTCATATAAAAACGTGAAAAAATTATAACTTTTTACCGTTTGCTATCCAACTTCGTAGCGATTCTCACTAAAACTAAAAAATGTTTTTAGTGATGATATTATCAGCTGTCAAAACATAGCATGGCAGATACCGAATATTTTACTTGTAACGCGAGTAATTGGTTTTTTATATGCATTGAATCGTATTTGTATACACAATATTTTATTAATATAGATGGATTTTTAAAGTATACGAATTACGTGTTTAAGAAACAATGAATTAAACGATTAAGATTTTAATTATAAAATTGAACATTTCTATTTTATTATCAGATCTATTTCTTAACTTATTTCGCATTACGGTAGTTACCCGGTACACATAAGGTTTAGGTTCAAATTCCACTAAAGTCTAGTCTAAAAATACTCATTGAATAATCTTTAAAATAGCTTTGAGCAATAATTAAATTCGTAAAAGTGTTAACTATGAAAAAACTTATTTGTGCTGTCAATCCTATTTCATTTTAGAGATTTAGACGGTCTAATAATAAATATAAAAACAAGGTAGAAAGGTCACAAGGAAAAGTTTATAAAAACTGTCGACGGAAACAAAAAATAAAATTTTTCGAATGAGACTCCAAGGGATTCATTATACATCATTAAATAAAAAAGTTTTTGCATTAAAATTAATTGATGGGTAAAATTGTCCGCACGTACATTGCATAAAAGACCTCAATGGACTACACTTAAGGGAAAAACCATTCTACCATGAACTCTGTTTTCACTACGAAGAATAATATGAAATAACTTTACAAACTCCATCTAGCGGATGTACTAGTAAGTTATAGACTTCTTCTTTTATTGTTATTTAATAGGTTAAGATGATTAAATTTTATTTGTATTGAGCATAGATATTGTATTAAAAGCATTTTCAACGAAGAAACTTTACACTTATTATGTTCCATTTATATCGAATAGATTTTCAATGGAACTACATATTTCCTAAACAAGTTCTTTGTTTAACAAACTAGACCACAATATAAACTTTTTGGGCAACTCGATCTTAAGATTTTGCAATTCATTCCGAAAAGTCGCATTTAAGGTAATGTGCAGAGTTTACATTCTTACATTCAATATTCTCAATTTGTTAGACCAAAGAATGACTTTTTAATTGATTTTGTTTTATAAGAAAACATCAACAATATGAATTAAACTTTCTTTATATTTAATAATAATAATAATTTTTTGATTGTCTTGTGATACCACCAATCGCAATATGATCCGTACGACACTAATCGTACGACAGACCTGAAAAGCCACATTAAACGAACGGCGTTCTTTCGAGAAGACTATATACTTGGCGATGTCCTTAATTTTAAAAATAACTGCCCTGTCACGTTTTGAAATCGACTCCAAAGATTTTTAATCTGGTCCTTGCCATTGATAGATACTGACACATGGTGTGAATGAAGTTTGCTCCTCATCCGGAGAATCACAAGCCCGACCAAGTCAAGTCTTATTGCATGGCTTACTTTCTACTGTATTACGGAGTGGCCTTAAAGCCCCGATACCATAGCACTAAGCTGACTCTGCTCTAGTTGAAATTGCTGACTGGTTCGTATTTTGTCTAATTTAAACCAAATGATTCTAGTGATCTGACAGGAATTTCCATCCACACAGGCTTTGATATATATTATTAATTAACATTCATTTAAAATATTATTTGTAAACTAAAATAATTTTTTACGTATTCTTAAACTTTAAACAAATAAACGATAAAATCTTAAAAATATAATTTATATCATTTTTAACTAAAAATAAAACTATATGCTAATATTATTTTTATAAATTTTTATTTCAATCAATTTAGTATCAAACTTTTAATGTTATATATGCAAGACGATCAAAGAACCAGTTCGAACGTAAATCTTATAGAAGTACAACATGTGGGCGTGACGGCCAGATTAAAATCTCCAATAAAGAATTTGTTGCAAAACTCAACCTCATCCATTGAAAGTGAACATGGACATAGACAAGTACTATTTAACAACAACGAAAAACGTCGCTATGATAATCTTGTACCGGATTCCACAGTTGATACCGGTGAAACAACTGAAGCATCAAAAGTTTTATATGAAATGCACGCAGTACCGAATATACACCCTAAATATACAAATAAAGGAACCCCATCTAAAATTGAATTCCAACTCTATAATAAAAATCGTGCGTCACGCAGTCACAGGCATCGAAAACGCTCCCGACGAACAAGTTTGTTAGGTAGAAGTCGAATACATAAACGTACTCGCAATGTTGTACAAACCTCTATTTGCAGTCGTTTACGACAATCCTTCGAAAATCTGTGCAAGTTAAGGACAGAAGAAAAGCATGTTAGTATCATTGATGATCTACCTGAGCCAACAACAAGAAGCAATGCGGAAGTCCACATAGGCATTTATCCATTTGAACATGGGTCTGCTGATTACCTGCGCACCAATGACGCCTATCCATTATTGGTGTCCTATAATATAGCTGAACGTGCAACCGACTGTGCAACGCGATTTTGGGCGGAATTTTTCGGTAGCCTATATATAGGTGTGGCATTTATTGTGACTTTCATTTTGCAGACTTATCGATTTCTATTGTATTCCTTTGTGAATACTTTGCTGGTTGGACTTCTGCATATGACGGCAGATTACTTCCTGAAACCGCTCTTAACGGTATGCTTCAATGGATTCATACAACCTCTGTTGACTCTTTTGCAGAATATATTTACTTCTATTCGAAACGCACTGGAACCCATATCTGACACATTCAATAATTGTATGAAACCAGTTGCAACCGTTTTCAGCAGTTTCCGTATCGTTGAAATTAACCACCGTGAACGACAGTTCGAAAAGGAAGTCTGATTTTAATATCAACTATTCATCTTTCTATTGATTGTTTGGAATTTATTTATTTTAATTGTTTGAAATAAATATTTAAATTTTTTTGTAACATTTTTTATAAGCAAACTGTATTTTTTTAAACAAACCTCGTACACTGTACCGATTGGAATAAAGTTCTGAAAATGGATGAAATTGAGATCATTTAACAACATTTTTCCAATTATTTGTTCTTTCCACATAAATAGGTATAAAACGGATTACTTTTCTAAGTAAGACCCAGATATTTTGATTTATACAATATTCCATGGGAGTAGTAATTTTTCCTTCAGCGAATGCGATCGGATTTTTTCTCAAATCATCGTTGAGATTTTTTTTTTTTTCTGAAGTTTGTAATAAACACACTCCGTCCATTTTTAACTCTGATGCAACGTAATAAATCCGCTGTGGATCTCTGCTTTGATGGATCTATAGCTCATTCACTAAATAAATTAGTGAACTAAATTAAATAAGTTCAAAGTCGTCTCACTATTGCGGTTGTACATAATTATACATAAGCCTGATAACAATATTAGGGTTTATTATTTTATACCTAACTATTTATTCAAAATCGAAACTACTGATCGATATGGCATACCAACAGCCTTCACAATCTAACGTGTTTCCGAAAAAAATGAATTGTTTTAGGTGCGATGTTTCAAATTTTCATCCCAAATATTTGGCGTCACTTTAATGTTGTATTTATATTAAAATTTATAACCTACAAAGTCCCCATAGTGTGACAACCCTTTCCTTAATTTGAGTGATGATATTCTTGCCCAAAAAAATGATACTTAGTAAACATTTTTTTTGCTTTTTGAGCGAATTTGATAGGATAAATTTGATAGTCTATCAAACACCACCTATATATCAACAATATTTAAAATGTGATAGAAGTCTGTTTATAGTGGATGGTTAATGGAAACAGTATTAAATTGATAGATATAATACTGATCTGATCTATGATTAGATTAGTCCTTGTATATTCAATTTGTTGAGATATAGAAATTCTCTATACTGTGTTGGAAATATTTTGACGAAGTACATATTATATATATATTAAGAAATATCCTCTTTCTTATTTAAGAGAACTTATTAGAATTTCTTGTATCTCTTAAGAGGTATCTCTTACTGAGGAGATATCTTTTATTTAAGAGATATATATTTCTTCAGTAATAGGTTTGAATGTCTTTGCATGTCTTGGAGTAAATTATTTGGTTGTAGAACTTCTTTAGAAGTTATTTTTAATAGAGTAATTTTTTTTGGGGTAATTAATTAATTTTAAATTTCAATCATGTTTGATTCAATTATCGTTGTCAAAAGTAATTTTTGTGAGATTTTTACTTTGGGTTCAAAATATAATGAAATAATTGAATTCAACATAACTTGTTCAATCCAGTATTTACTATATAGTCTCCAGTACATTTGAATGTAGTTTTTTAATTCAGATATAGGTCAATTTCTTTATAATCTCTATAATTATTTAATTTATTATTATGTTTGAAATGATAAAATCAGGAAGCATTACCAGAACTTCTTCGTCGTCAAAGTTATTCCAAAATATGCTGAGCACCAAATAACAATTTATTTCTTCCAATCGTTGAAGTTGTTTTGAACTCTACTTAATTAAGATAGTTAAAGATTTCCGTCGGACAAGATGTACGCTCTGATGAGTGCAGAAGACAAGGGTATTCTACTCGTTCCATTTCCATGTATTTCATTTTTCTAAGGGCGGAGTTTTCTTACAGAAAAACATGCGTATTCATCGCGTCACAGACTTCAACCCCTAAATTTTCCAGGTTTTCAACTTTTTTTGTTTCACAATCCCAAGCATTTTCCATATATCCTAGCACACCTTTTGTCCACAGGCAAACATGTTGACATGTATGTATCCGTCTGTGTAGATACGAAGTATGCACAGCCCGCTCCCTTTTGTCTGTTTTCCTACTTTTGCAATATTGTGCATAGTTGTACCTTTTTGGTGCGGAATTTGATATCAAATTACAATCAAATGATTTCAATTTTTGTGCTGCTTTCGTAATCTTTCAACAGGAACATTACGTTTACGTGTAAATTCAATAAATCCATTGAGATCCTGGTGCTTAGCGAATTTACAAACCGTGATGATGTGTTTGCTCATTTCGTCGTCCTGCTGTTTGCCTCTGTGGGTTAAATTTTTGTTGAAATTGTTTCGATTCGAGTGCGATGCTTCCTTCCTTCTGCTTCGTTACAAGTTCTGACATATGTTTTCCCTGTTTCGGTTGATTATGTCCCCGGAGAGATGTAATCGCCCATAAACAAGTTAATTTATATTATACGGCTAAGTTTTTTTTTTATTGATATTTGTTCATTTTATTATTATAAGTGGTTTTAAATTATTTATTTTTTATTACAACAAATAATCACCTAAAATGAGATTCTTAAAATTTTTCAAAAAATATCTAATCATCATTAATATTTAAAGAACATTAATATTAATTAGTATTTATTATTTCACATATGTTTTATACATATATGTATATATATTGGTATTATATATTGCATCGTGTGTTTATCTAGATTGCATAAAATATATGAAGGAATAAACAGCTAAAAATCTCTAATTAACTACTTTTGTCAAGCAGTTATCTGGGCTGATTGATAAGTCAGTTATAGAGTAAGGCAGTTTGATTACTTGCAAATTTATTTTCCGACATCGTCCTCCTCGAGCTCTACATAATTTCAGCAACCTTTCGAAATAATACGTCTCTTCGAAGTACCCATAATAATTTTTGTTGCAGAGAAAACGCCTGAATGTGATTTATATTTTTTCCATAAAGTCATTTTTTTAATTTAAAAACAATAAACAAATAGTAGGAGTGAGATGGATGTGGTAACACCTCATGACATAATGTGAGTTCTTCTTGACCAATACTTCTGTTGCAAGTGCTAAGGAATATGCTGAAGTATAATCGTGGTAGAATAAGATTTCTTTCTTTTCAAATGCGAAATTTGTCCTTAAATGCTACATCTTAATTGTCTAAAAGCATCGCATAGTATTGACTTATTAATATTTTGCGTTCCCTAAGATGGCCAATCATAGTCATAATTACGCTATGTGCATCCCAATAACCGCAGCCGCAGTCTGTCCCCCAGATTGAACTGAGATCGTCCTTTTGTATAAAAAACTGTGTACTGTTTTTAATCGTCTTTCGTTTCTGACACATGGAGATATGTTTCTGAAGCATGGAGATATACTCAGGTCACACCTAGAGTTCAAAAACGACTCAGATTCCGCTGAGTCGCTAATATTTCAGTCACTTTTAGATTCCGCTGGAATATTAACAAATATTAACTGAAAGTAGTTACCTTGCTACGTCAAATAAATACAGTACGTATCTTGCTGACAACCTCTTTATATTATATATATTTGCATAATAAAATTTTTAAATTAAAAAATAGAATATAATAATAAAATCTACTGAACAAAAAGCAAAACTGTTCAAATGAGATGGCATATTTCAGCTTACTTAAATGTACAACTTCTGAGAGTCAACCTCTATATTTGCTAGTATTCGGATTTCTGCTTCAAACTAGTCAGATTAAAACTTTTTCTAGCTAGAAGAGTTTCATTTCTAAGGTATTTAGGGCATATAATTTAGCTAGCATAAGGTTTATCAGAAAAGCATTAACGACATGTACAATTTGACAATCGCTCAAAAAAAGGCTCGTGTCGATTGGTCCAAAGAAATGTTTATAGTAACGTTTATAAGATCGTCACAGGCGACGAATTATGGATCTATGCATATGAGTCCAAAACAAAACAATAACCGACCGCGTGAGTCTTCGAAGACGAGCCAAATCCAACGAAAGTTGTTCGTGTAAGAAGCACTTCGAAGCAAATGGTCGCCTGTTTCATCGGTAAAACTGGTCATGTGGCGACTGTTCCGCTTGAGCAACGAAGAACGGTCACTTCTAAGTGGTATACCACAATTTATTTGCCTGAAATCTTCGGAGAAATTCGAAAAACAAACAGGAGAAGACGAATCATTGTTCACCATGACAACGCGAGCTCTCACACATCGGCTCAAACCAGCGCCTTTTTGACCGGCCAAAACGACGAATTTATGGGTCATCCGCCGTACAGCCCTGACTTGACACCCAATGACTTCTTTTTATTCCCGCACATCAAGAAAAAAATGCGTGGTCAACGATTTTCGTCGCCAGAAGATGCTGACCATGTTTTGGAGGTGTCTCAATCGGAGTGGAAAAAGTGCTTCGACAAATGGTTTGAGCGCATGCAAAAGTGTATAAATCAGGCTGGAGAATACTTTTAAAAAACAATAAAACAATTTTTGATGATAAATATTCGCATTTTCTTTATTAGGCCAGAAATATATATAGCAGCCCTCGTACCATGCTAAACAAATTTGTACATATTTTGGTAAATAAAAAAATTTAAAATATTATCCAGTACTCAAATTCAGTTATTCCTAGGCTGAACCAACAATTAGATAAACAAATACACATAATAAACGCAAAATACCAAGTCAATAAAAAAAAGGCCAACAAGCAAGATTAAAAAGATATTGCAGATTCACTACTGGGCCTGCAAACGTTTGGTAGGACAGCCATGTACACATTACAGAGCAAGTAAAACAGAATTAAAGAACTTAAGGGTTATATATATAGAATAAATTAAAAGGCGCAGAGTTTTATGTCCTTAAAAGATATTCTGTGCTACAATAAAACCCAATCGAACATCAAATCTTCCGCCTTTCAAATATAGACTAGAACGTCTTTCATTGAGGACTTTCTAATTGTAAACAGAGAAGATAATATAGAAATTCCTATTTTAAATTCTTTTCCAATTTCTAGTTTAATATGCTAACACTTTTTGTACATTGACGGATCTTATTTAATGAATGATGTAAAGTAATTCTGGTTTTTGGTTATACTCTGGTTTTGTGGATTGTAGCTTAAACTGACTTTGCACAAATTTTCTTAAAAACTCTACTTAAAGTAAATATAGAAATGACTTTGTATCTTGATTTCTACGTATTATTGAT